TCAGCAGAGAACTTCCTGCTGACTCGAGAGGCGGTAGTTCGTTTCGTTCAGGACTCCATCGCAAATGCGGTGGACCGCCAGAAACGGAACGCAGACAAGAATGGAAGAGCAAATGTTCTTTCATTTAAAGTTAATGACCTAGTACTACTGTCTACGGTAAACTTACCTGGACATGCAGTCACTAGTGTCGGCAGTAGTAAACTACTGCCGAAGTACATTGGGCCATTTCGAGTGTTGCATCGCAAGGGCAATGCATACACGATCGAATTGCCACGTAGGATGCGCACGCATCCTACGTTTTACGTGGGGCGACTCAGGCCGTACTGTCAGTACGAGCCTTCTTCTTCCGATGAAGATAGCCCCCACGTTCAAGAACATCCATCAAGTTCTTGCGTTCGCGCTCCAGACGATCCGTCTGGTCGCGCAGATAAGATACCTCGGAACTCAACCGAGATATCTCCCCGCGAGCTGTCGCCAGCTCGCCGAATAGGGAGCGGACATCCCGCTCGACCTGAAGCTGCGCTGTGGCGTAATCGGCGCGGTCTCTCGCCCGATCAGCCTCGCGATCCTTGCGGTTCTTCCGCACGGTATCAGTCAAAGCGTAGCGCCGGTCGCGCTCGTGCTTCAAGTCATCGCGCAATTCATCGATTGCGCGATCCATCTCGTAAGGGTCGAGATGGTGAGCAGAATCATCTGGAGGAGGTCTTTCCTCCTCCACCACATCCTTTGGTGGATTCTCACGGTGGTCAACGCTTTCTAGTGGAGCGTATCTTGAATCACCGTGACGATTCAGGATCAAGGACGAGCTACCTCGTCCAGTGGCGGGGGTATCCACCCTCTTGGAACAGCTGGGAGCCCCGCTCTCAGCTGTTGATGGACGTTGAAGGTCTCGTCCGCCAGTATGACGAGACCCATCCGATTGAGTCCTGTGGCCCATCGGTAAACACGCGCCCTAGGCGCTTGTAGACGGATTGCAAGTTTGCAATCGCGTCACGCATCTCAGCCGAGATGTGTGCCCTTCCCCAGGGCGAACTTAGGGAATACACGTCCCTCTGTGCACGTTGCGAGTTGTCAGCACAACTCGCACAAGGGTCTCCCCAAGTGAGGCATGGAATGCCGGCCTCACTCGACAAACAGTGCAACCGGTACCTGGCACCGGTTGGCGTTCGCTTTTCGAACCTGAGGCGTGTCTGCCTCAAGTTTCTTGAGCCACCCTTCTCGTCCAAAATTCTTTACGTTTTGGACGAACGCGTTCCACGCAGCCAAAAGCGAGGCCTTGTCACGCTTTTGGTTGCCGTTGTACCATCGATGTCCAAGGAAGACATCGAGATAAAAATCCTCTTCAGCGCGAAAGTTGCTCGCGCTGGAATTCAAGCCATGAAGCTAAGTCGCATCGAATAAAGGTATTCGATGGTGTTGGTTTGTCTCGTGAGACAAGCTATTGATGAGCCGTTCGGGCAGACGCCACGGCTTCGGCTCATCACGCTTCACAGTGGTACCTCTGTCGGTACCACGGCTCCCAGTATGACGATGGCTTGCACCATCGTCAAGTCGCTCGTGGGAAGGAGCACGAGCCGGCGGTGGTAAGAAATAATATTCCTCACCACCCTGATCATCGTCATCACTGCCGAACAGACTGTGATGCAAATCCCGAGTCCGTTCGTTCGGCAGTGGCCTTGGCGAATACTGAGGCGTCGCCGGTGATCGAGACGCCTCTGGAACATTGCCCGAGTCAGGCACGTCTGACTCGCCAGAGTAGATGACCTCAATGTCGGGGTCATCATGCGCACGCGGTGCTGTACCGCGTGCACCTGCAGCACCTCTTGCTGCAGGCGAAGAACGAGCAGCAGACGACGAATCGTCTGCCGCAGAGGCTGGCACAGCAGCGGGCTGTGCGTGTCTTGAGTCACCCCGCATAGACATGTTAACTATGCGAGGTCGGGTGGAAAGTGAATGGAACGGACCCAACAAGTGCTCCCTGTCCCAATGGTGTCCAACGGGTGGCCGCCATATTTTGATAGTCACACGGTGACTATCAGTTAAGGGGGGGTGATGTAACGGGGCAGCCCGTTACATGGAAATTGTCACTTTGAGAGATAAGTGACAATAAAGAATATGAAGTTGAATATTCTTTTAACAATATCACCGAAGTGGTGATATTGATGGGTCGACCAAAGAGTCTGCTCATTGGTTGATATCTTGGTGAGAGAAACACACCAATCACCGCAAGACGCGCGCAATGAGTGGTGACGAGACGTCGTCATACATTCAGTTATATTAGCATAATTAAGTTAAGTCAAGCAGAGAGACAGTAGTTAAAAGACTTAATTATATTAATATAACAGTTCTGCTTTTGCCTTATCTACGCTTCCTCGTTCGCCTCGTGTACGCTTGTCGGGGCACCTAAACCCTTGCGTTAAGTTCACGCAAGGGTGTGCCCCGTTACACCAGCTGCAACACGGCTAACAAGGAAGAAGTACGATGGATGCAAACACACCTGTATTGGAAATGGATAAATCAAGGGACGACGATCAGACATGCTGCTGAACTGCTGAAGATCCCGTCAGAGGAGATAGATCTATTCGCGAGCAAAAACTTCGAGACTTGGCTGCGATACATCGCGGTCTACGCCAAACATTTTCGTATTTCGAAGCCAGACGTCAAAAGCATCGCGGCCCACGCCGGCTATCCTCAACTTGCCGTGACTCTCGGCATCAACTATATCGTCTGGAGGTTGATGGAGCTGATTGGCAAACGCAAAACGGCGAGGCTGATTGCTAGAGGAAAGGTGTTGCAGCTGGCAGTATTTGACGTACTGGAGCAAGCGATGTTTGCGCAATGGAAGAAGGATGGATACAGTCCCGACTTATTCTTTGTGGAAATCGAGCAAGCAATTGCTAAAAAACTTACTCTAGGAATCGGCGAGAAAAAGGTTTTTAGTCGGTATGAAACGTATTGCCACTTATGATATAAGTGGCAAGTTGCACGCGCACCAATCTTTCATGTTTCATTCGGCATTCATCACCTGCGCACAAGGGATAACAATACATAACATCCATAAACTTGACCTGACTTCCAAATACAAAATGCTCGCTTCATTCGTTATAACTTCGAAGAAACTCAACGTTCATCAAAACGCGTTGTGACCCTTAATGTGTTGTACCGCTAGACGCGTGTCATTCACGTGTCAAAACGACATCGATTCCACCAGGCAAACGTGTAGGCACGTCGTCGCTGTTCGGGCCAGGGCAGCAAGTTAGCTCTCGTACCATTTGTGTCTTGCACGAACTCGATTTAAGCGGGTCGTTCAGCCAGCCAGGTGATTGTCACCAGCACCCCACGCATCTCCAGCCGAAGCGTTACTCTACTCAGAAGCAGCCAATTTTGCCAGCCGTCCAACATTCTTCTTGCTTCGTTCGCGTCTTTGGTCGGAACGAAACGCGTGCCGTTGCGTGCCACGCTACGTGTTTTACTTTCGTGTGCTGCTATAAGGTCATTGTTCCTGCTCTAGCTCCATGACGCGTCTTGTCCACACGATGTAACGTTGTTTTGCTGGAAAATAGTGAGACCATAAAATATGTATCAACGATGGACGACATCTGGACAGCTTTTGTATCTCGCTTGTCGTTTCGTACTGGTTTTATGTTTTTTGCAGTTCTCGATTCACGTCGTAATACATATTTGTCTCGTCGTTCAATTAAGTACGTCTTTAGGTTCCCTCGATATTACTGTCAACGGAGGAATGCAACGACGTGTTTGCGCAAGCGTACAACTGGACATCTGGGCTTCGAGGTAAGTGAGTAACGTTTGTCAACGATAAGAAGATGGATGGCCTGAAAATAAGGGGATCAAGTCGATGCCGAGCACGTACTGCAGCGCAAGTAGCACAAGAGATCGCAACGACGACAGTGGATAAGCCTTCGAGGTGAATCGATTCTCAGCTGTAGCATGTCCGCACGTACATCAGTACAATGTCGTTTGTGGACCCCTAGCACGCGAAAGAAGGCGGTGTGCACTCGAGGGACAATGGCCGCAGTATCCGCTTGATGGACTCTGGCGTGCAAGGCCTGAACGACAAGATGGGGCGCGGACCACGAATGGATTGCAGGGGTCTGCAACTACCACGAGCCGTCGTTTCGGTCGTTCGCCACGTCGACGTGCTCGATTGCGAACCGAGCAACGGAGCCCGTTAAGACGCCAAATATCCATCTGCAAGTACAAGATGTCGGGTAGTGGCCTGTTCCACGTGTTTTACTTTGGCACGGCGGCTACGGGTGTTATATGGCTGTGCTGCTTGACGACGATGTACCCGCAGCAGTACTTTGCGACCACGCGCGGCCGACGATACCGTGCGACATACACGTTGCCAGCTGGTGAGACGGACGGGTGTTTCAGCTCGACGGTCAAGTTGGACGCAGACTCGGGCGATGGATAGTGTATCCGGAACGTGCCGTTTATGTCGTGGGTCATGTACGCCATGATGATTTCAGCGAGTTTCTCAATTTGTTTTTGGGACTGCTGTTCAACTTCAGTATGTGGCGATTGATTCGTCGTGGTACGCGGTACATTAACGACTTGAAGCCGCCTGTTCACAAGGAATAGCGGCCGACGGTCGGCATCTTTTTGTGTCACTACATGGAACCGGTCACGGATTCGATGCAGACATTGAAGAACTGTCTTTCGCTGCTGCATGCGCCCGAGCTCCTCGACATCTTTGTGCTGGATGACGGTTGCACTGAGACTGTGTGGGACGCGAACAACCACTTCAAGGTGGCGGTGAACACCAAGGTGATTGAGATTTGGACGCGTACAACCACTTCGAGGTGGCGACGAACACCAAGGTGATTGAGATTTGAACGCGAACAACCACTTCAAGGTGGCGGTGAACACCAAGATGATTGAGATTTGAACGCGAACAACCACTTAAGGGCGGCGGTGAACACCAAGATGATTGAGATTTGGACGCGAGCAACCACTTCAAGGTGGCGGTGAACACCAAGATGCTTGAGATTTTTGTGGTGATGGGCTTGCGCGACTCATGCGGTGGGCCTATACAGGACGAACAAAGCTTGAAGACGTGGTGTCTCCGGCACGGCTCTGTCCGTGAACTCCGCAAAAAGAGTGGCAAGGATGTGCAGCGTCGTGATTGTGCTGTCGGCTTGCTTTCGGACGACTACGACTACCGTGAGCGTGGTATCCCGCGTGTGACTTTCATTGGACGAATGAAGTCCGAGATGCACCACTCGAAAGCTCGCAACATAACCAATTGCTTGTTCAACGAAGGTGCTGACGGCACGTATGTGCTGATTCTGGATAACGACATGAAGCCGTATCCGAAGCTTTTTGATTGCGGTGCTGTCGTTCTTCTTCTCGGAAGGCGAGGCCGTCGACGGTGGAGGACTTCAGTGCAGCGACGATATTTCGTGGACCCAGATGTCGTACGTGCAGACTTCTGCAGACTCCTCACTACTTGGAGGACACGCCTCAGTTGACAGTCATGGGTGATCCGTGCGGGCACAAGAACACCATGTTCGTTGACGCTGTGCAGCGTGGCCGTGATTGTATCGACTCGGCAGCTCTTGCCCGCCTGAATGCTGTGTTCTGTCGCCAAGCCTTCGACTCGATTGGTGGCATTCAGTACGGTACTCAGTCTGAGGATGCGTTTACGGGAACGTGGTCCACACTTCTGGTTGGGACTCGGTGTACTTCCGCAAGGATTTCGAGGGCGATGCCAAGGGCCGTATTCGATTGTGCGGAGGTGCTATTCCTGATACAGTAGCTGCTGCTATGGGCCAGAAGAAGCGTTGGGCAAAGGGTGGTGTGCGGATTCTGCTGATGCAAAATGAGCGCGACGTCGACCCGGATTGGCGTCCTCCGCGCGTGCCTACCCCAGGCCTGAAGCCATCTCTTGCGTTCCCGCGCAAGATGATTTTGTACGACTCGGTGCTGTACCCGTTTTTGGTTCGACTCCTGCCCTGCGTTACGTCGCGATCGCCGTCTACTACTTGTGGACATGTGACGCGCCGATATACGCTCGTGGAAAGAAGATCCTGTACTCTTTCTTGCTATTGCTGTTCTGCCGTTGGGTGCTGAACCTGCTGGCCAACCGCGCAGTTGACAACAACGACGTGTGGCGTATGCAGCAGGCATGGCTTTCGTTCTCGTTCATTACGATGATGGCAGTTTTGAGGCCATCCAGGCGCGTGTGACGGGTAAGGACAAGTCAAGGGCAAGCACGGGTGCTGGTCAGAAGACGCCGTGGACAGAAATACCGGATGTGCTTTTCTTCTTCACGCTGCTGTTTAGTCAGCTCGTGGCACTCGTTCGTTTCTTCGAGCACGACTACGCGACGAATCTGTGGAACTACGTGTCTGCCATGTTCTGTGGCTTTTTCGTCATGAGCCAGTACTACCCCATGGTCAAGATGAGTATTCCCGAGTACTGCGGCTGGGGCCATACTGCTGCCACCTTTACGGCGAATGTGTTTGGCTCGTTGCTCGTGGTCTACAGTGTAGTCTTCGTGCAGCTATGGTAAGTCGACTACGCGGGCAATCTCCAGGTGGCCCAAGGCATCGTCGCAGGCGCGAATGACCCGGCGGCGGCGACGAACTGGACGCACCGGATTGTGTCGCAAAGACGCGGATGGTGTTTGGTCGACGAGGAGCAGAAGGAGACACAGGATGCGATGCATGCCGAGCGCAGGTGACGAGAAGCGGTGGTGTGGTCTATCTGGCGAGCCGGAGACGCGCTCGCAAGTGCGCGCTGCCGTCGACGCTTTCCCTCTAGTACTTGAGGTGTCATTACAGTTTGCTGTCAATGCCGAGTTGTCGATCCTTGCGATGTGGGCACTGCTGTCCATCCTCTCGTGCACTTGTGTTTGGTCCGCACGTGGTAATGGCGTCAAATGGTATGTGTACTGGAGCATACGCGACGTTGGCCACCTCTGCTCGCCCGCCTTTGGTCGGACGGACGTGCAGTGAATCGTTACGTGTTGTGGTCGCACTTGTACTGAGGATGTAGGAAGTGAAAGTAATATATGTTGAGAGTAAATTACAGTCGGTTGTTAACCATACCTTTTGCACTTGATCAAGTCAAGTTACACCTGGTACGCGTTTAGCATACCCATCACCATGTGCTGCTGGTCTTAAACAATGTCGTCCGGATATCGCTGTCCCACTTATGATCTCCTCCTGATAGTCCGACATGACGACCCTCTTCTCTCGACCCATATGTCCACCAGTCACATCTTCGTCCTACCTGTCAGCTTATTAGCCAATCAGGTGAGATCGGGACGTACCTGTAACAGGTCTTGCAGTTGAACACTGGAACTTCGATGACCTGTCAGAAAGCATATCTTCCAACACGTGCCTTGCTATGACGCTTTGCAAGGGGCACGAATGCCGCAGCGTAGCGCCTATTTGCTTGTTTGTTCGAGCATGGACTACTACACTGTACGGCAATCGACGAGCACGGAGGAAGCTTCTTTCGCTCAAGAGTAGACTAACGTGAACAAGCCAACTGCAATCGTAATAATACACTTCGTTTTGTTACTCACTTCAATAAGAACTACGTTTTCTTTTGTCTTTCATGGGGCTATCGACACCTATACGCTCTAAACCGTAGGAGCCAAGCACACCAACAGCACGCGTGGCAAGCAATCGCAATGATGACGAAGAGTAATGAGTCTTCATCAGTCACTGCGAATGCATGCCACGCTCAACTTCGTCCAAAAACACGCCACGTTCCACAGCTTCAACGGGGGTAATGAGCCCCGAAGAATTGCAGATCGCAACGCATTCTCGAACAAAGTCTGCTGCCATGCCTTGACCGCACCACGTTCCGGAGCCTTCGGTGAGCGATGAGCTCCGGGAGACGCAACAGAGAGCAATGGGTCTCTGGAGCGCCAATCCCGGAAGCTCCGTTGCCCTCTTCTGGCAACGTGTGTGTGGCTTAACACCCGTTGCCCAGCGCGATGCGTCTTCCTCCAGTCTTCACGCGCGTCTGTTTTTTTGCTGACGGAAATCCTTGAAGCACCAGTGCCGGCAGTCGCAGCAATGATCGCACGGGCAGCAGCAGTGGATTCCACACGCGCACGAGTGGATACTGTGCTCGCAGTCACACCAACACGCGCTCGAGCAGTAGTCGCTGGACGAACACGCGCACGGGAACCAGCAGTAGGCCCAGCGCCCACTCTCGCAGCGACGTCCTTGCCGCTTGCAAGCACACGAGCGCGTTCATCTTGGCCGGTTCTGATTTCCTCGCGAGGCGTCATGCTAGTCTTGGATGGCGTCGCGAATGTCTTCTCGGGTGTCTTCTGTTGCATGGGTGCCTTGTTCGCGCTCGTCGCCTCCGTACTGCTGTCTTGGAAGTCCTTCTGCTGCAGCACCAGCTGCAACTTGGACTCGCGCTGGACCTTGAGCTGGCCTTGCGTGGCCTTCAGCAGCTGCTTCTCCAGTCTTGCACTTGTGGCCTCAGCCTTTTCGGCGCGTTTCCGGAGCGCCAGCACTTCACTCTCCATCTTGCGCCGCGACTCGATACCTTCGACTCGCTCGTTTTCTACCACCCTTGCCATGTCCGCTCGCAGCGCACTGAGGCGCGTCAGCGAAATGACTTGTTCCTGTAGCGCGTCGTTCGCGCGTTGGAGCTCGCTGCACGAATGCAAGATTGCTTTGCATGTGCTTTGGATGAACGTTTCCGTGGTGTTCATTGCGAATGGGAGAGCAGAATGGAAAATGACAAAGAAGCACGCGGGGCGGCGGCGGAGTGGTCATGGAAAACAATTCATTCATATACGCTAAGAAACATGGATATGGAAAATGGACTACTTCAACTGTAAGAGAAGTGGCCTGAGACGCGGCGGTGAGCCAAGTTCAAAATGAAGTTAAATGGCGCAAAAAACGGGCGCGTGAGTGGCGGCACATGGGACACGGCATTCATTTTATACTAAATGAGACGACGGAGTCGACGAGACCAAAAGATGTGATGGGTTGACCCGTGTGAGTAGGTTTTATTGGTGTTTAAGGTAAGAGAATGCTGATGTGTGGTGATTAGAGGCAGTTCTGGACGGCTCGACAGAAAGATTCATGCTGCCAGCTATCGTTGTGCTGTATAGTTTGCTGTGTCGAACGGCAATTAAGTATGTTCGCAACTTGACAAAGCACATGTTGAACTGATGCTACGACTCGTGTTGACTTTCGCACTAACGCTCACTTTGGCGTTCTGCACCAAGAAGGCGTCGTCACAACGCTGCTATCGCTATCCTCAAACTTGACGCTGACATCGCCGTATCTGCTTGCTGTCTTGTCTCCCTTGACTTGACCACGCGACTATCAGCTTCCCTTGACTCCCTTGCCGGCAATGCCCCATCGCTCATCAGGTCCCACGCACTCGTCCCACGTCGCCCAATGTGCCCCATGACGTGCCAACGAATTTCCGCCGCGCAATGCCATAACCTAACACGGAGAAGCATCCGGATCCCATAGACCAGCTTGTCTGTAAAAGCAACAGAAATGTCCACAAGCTCACAATGTTAGTCAGTCGACTCGGTTCCAATCGCATATGTTGCCACCATCCTTACATGCTATATAAAAGACACGAAAGTCAGAGCGAGAAAAACAGACTGCAGCTTCGTCGCAAGATCACATGCCATACTACACCAGCCCGCAAAGGATAGGCAAGCTCGACAAGCTACGAGAGTGAGTGGCCAGGTCTACAATGTAGCCTGGAAAATTCTACGGGTTTCTGCACAGGAGTCCGCGACCGAGGACGGATGGAACCATATTTCGGCTTGCGATGTCATCAACAGCAGAAAATACAGCAGCGTTCAGTCGATCTCCATCCCTTTTCGGACTGTAATGTCTGATTCTCGCTTCCCGTCCGTACCAGGCAGAATACTCTGTCTGCGTCAATGATGAGCGACGCGAGCAATTCAATCACTGTTTCGTTCAGACCTCAGCTATGTCGCTATCAGCAAGCCCTTTACTATCACCATGCGATTGATGCTGAGACATCGTGATGTCACTTCAGCGAGCAAAGCAAAATGGGGTGGAAAAAGCAGCGTGTAGCTTTTATATCCACCCTGCATATCTCTCGTGCTGCCTCTGGAGCAGTATCATCCTGATTTACGAAGTCCTCGGCATGCTTACCTTTCAATTGCCAAACGCTCGACCCCGCAATAGTTGACTTTTGTTGAGCCTCGTCGGGACTAAGAAGTCCACTGCACACGCTTGACCGTTGTAGCAAGCGACTCAGCTATATGTACTTCTCGGAACGATTTGTGAGAGCCAGCACTCCCACATGCACTGACACACAAAGGATCTACTGAACCTGCATAGCCAGCTTGTAGCCAATCCACACTCTCTTTGTGACTTGCGCCCGATCAAATCATACCCACGCAAATCTTGTTCTCATGTCTTGCTGTTACTCCATACGTATCCGCAAGGCCCGGTATCCGCTAAAAATGCTTGTCCAGGGTCAGTGTGGACCTGGGCACGACCAATGACTCTGCGCCCTTCACAATACCCGTCAAATTCTGGGCATTCGTACACATGATGTGAAAGAGCCCAAGTCACATATACTGCATACGCAGTGGCACTGGTATACCAATTCTTAGCTCAACGTGTCAGCCTTCCCGAGTACTGGTACCAGGAGTGCCAAGCGTACTGAGCGGTGTGAAACTGGCCTTTCACGCATGATCGGCGTGACAATGCTATTTTAACATTTAAAGCCTTCAAAGCTTAATGCTAAACATCGTGTAAGCAAAACTTTGATTCAGCCTCGTACACTCCAGCGAGACAGACCCAAACTATCTCCATTGATCAGTTACACATGCTGTAGAATCATCGGAGCACAGTCGTCATGCAGCAAACAGGTGGCAGTAGTAATCACATCATAGGGTCTAAAATGCATCGTTGTTGCTCGCAATCTCACGCGGCGGCAATGTCCAAAGATGCACACGCGTTGTACAACGATCACTTCTTCAGTCGTGGCGGATAAATACGCACGACCATCATCACGCCGGTCGGGATGTCACCACATGTAGCTGTACGCATATTCAGCACCGATAAGCTGCTTTTGCTGTGATGATACCCCATCGATCAACCTCAACAGCTTGAGGCTGCATCAAAAGTGTCCGACGCGTATCAATACATCTCAACAAAGTCTCGTACATTCGCCATCGTGCCTCCACATCCTTAGAAGCCGACGCGATCCTTGCCAGCCTTGACAAACGGTCTCTCGATCTCACCTTCATCCGTATCCTCCTTATGACAAGTGACGCATCGCACGCGGCAGCCTACAGCATCACGTGCTTCTCGCTCATCTCCGAACAGCCCCGGAACAATGGCGAACGGGTTCCTTTCAGTTGCACTTGTCTCGCCCTTAAGACGCTCGAATCTTCCACTTCGGGCAGCACTTGGCGCAAGTGCATCATTTTGTGCATCGACAGCGAGTACATTGTCGGTAGAAAGCTCATCAGTGTCGCTTGACACTTGTTTGTCATCTGGAAGTGGTATCGGTGCCTGGACAGCTTCCGGA